CCCCGTGCTCCTGTGGGACGCCCCTTCTGCCCCACCACTGCAGTGTTGACGAGCTGTGCCTGGTACCTTGAGATATGTAGAAAAAACATTTAAAGCTGTGTTTATGGCTGAATTGCTGATTCGCTGAATCAGCATCGAATATTCAGATTCGGATTCAGCCAAATTGAATCAGGACAGTGATCCAAATCAACGAATCACATCACCGTCCCCAATTTGGGCCGAATCCAAATCGAATACAGCCCATTTCATACATCCCTAATGCACTGCCTACTGAATATGCTCAGTATACATATGCATGTCTATAAGTAATAGAAGGTAATAGAATCAAACTTTGCATAAGTGCCAAAAAAGCCACTTACACAGCTGGAAAATGATCCTGTAGATCCCAAAAGGAAATAATTCTATCCTTTGACTTACAAATTTGATTTTTTTAAACTGTATATTTCTCACCCTTAGTGGTGCATCAGCTTTTGTATTTAATTGCTTGCAATTATTTTCACAGAAAAAAAATAGTAGAAGAATGATAACTAAAGACATCCATCCACTTCTGAAATATTTAGTTATGGCTTTCAATCATTATAGATAAGAGATTCTCAAAGTGCAGGAGCTTCAAGAGCTCCACAACCTCCAAAAGAAAAAATAGCAAGAACTACTGTTCCACTTCCAATTACGATTAAAAAAAATGCTCATGATCTTCTGAATCCAGTTTCCCCCTGCAATTTTTATCCCATCCTGTTAATGGTAGAAATGACCACGTCTAAATCTTCTGTCAAGTGCACACACATTTACAACTCCCCAAACACACCACCTTGCCTAAGAGCCCTTTGCGACTCTTACCTCTCACAGATAAACCTACTGCCCATTCCCTTTTGTGGCCCCCTACCAATTCTTCCCACATTAAATTTCCCTTTCACTTCCTCCAGCGAACAGTTTCTTGACTGCTTATACATAGGAACCTACCTAAATTGTGGTGAGACAAAGGGCTTTTCACAGCTTGCTTGCAGCGCACAGAGCTGAGTTCAAAGGCATTTGGCAGCAGTTAACACCCCTCAGCACTGATTGGCAGAGGCCCCGCCCCTTCATGCTGACTGACAGAGACTGGGGCAGGGGGAGGGAAGAGGGGGCAACTGCCGTTTTGATTGGTTGCTGCCCTTTTTGCGGCCCCGCTCCTCGGCGCTCATTGGTGGAGAGGCTCTGGCGGGGGGGGGGAGGGAGGAGGAGGGATGAGGGGGCAGCCTCCAACTTGTCTGCTGTCCTTTGTGCCACCCACTACTTTCCCTTCCAGAACTGCTATATATTTATTAATTTTTTGTTGTTGTTCGCACAGATTTCATGGTTTCTGCGAAACTGAGAATTAAGTAGGTCCTTATTTATACATACTTACTGTCAACGGCCATCTACATTTCCTACAAATAGCCCTTGGCTTTAGACTCACGCAACCATCACTTCCTCCATTTCCTGGTTAAAGATTCCCATCTGCTTCCTCTTATAAGCTCCAATGCTCACTCTCAGATTCTAGCTTATTTCCTGAAATTATTAAAGGTCTTGAAGCTAAAGGCATTTCAGTCCTTAAAGAAATGCTGTTACTGCTAAACTCATAACTTTTATAAGGAAGAGTCCTAACCACTGAGCCTTGTATTGAAAGGAGCCAAGCACTAAATTAAGTTCTAAGACCTCAAACAGGAAAAGTTTATACTAAAACAGTTGAGCCTGTGCCCTAAATTCTCATCCATTTTAGATGAAACAGATAAAAAAAAAAAAAAAAAAGCTTAATTCAAACATTTAACTGCAGACGCATAAGCTTTTAACTCTAGATTCTCCATTATAGTCAATGAATTTTAAATGCAACTTGGAAGGAGTTCAAGGCTGCCCTTTATATTTTATTAATCCTGAGCATGCTGTCTTCTGTACCACCTCTCTTACATAACTTGGAGCAACCCAAAAGGGTGTTACGGGACTTTAGCAAGTTGCCAGTTTATATTGGACAGTCTTTTATTTCCCTGGGCAAGCTTGCCCCACAGGACATGCCCGAGTTACAACTTGAACATATACATAATCAATAAAACAGTCAAATCCTCAAGCACTCAGTACAACATAATAAAGAATCAAAGCAAACCCTGTGGTCTTTTCCCGGATGCTGGGAAAGTCCCTGGCTCAGTGTTGCAGCTAGTAGCCACTCAGCCCTCTCCCTCTCTCTCTCCTTTGAACATAAGGCAAATCATCTTTACAGTTTGAAGGTCCAGAGCCTGGAATAGACTTCCCCCAGAGGTGGTACAATCACTTAGTCTGGAAATCTTGAAAAAAAACAAACATTTGGACGCTCACCTTGCTGGAGTTATCTGCCCCCAGCACTCTTTCCTACCCAAGAGCTGGGGGGGATGAACCTTATGAGGTCCCACCCAGCCCCTAACATCTATGAATCCCCTAGCTCCCTTCCCTGGGAGCCTTTTAACTTGCTTTGCACCAGCCAATTATCCTCCTTGGCTGGCCCAGACCTCCGCAAGCCTGTAACCACTTTCCTACTGCTTGCAGCTAGAGCTATAGGCCCCAAGGCATGCAGCCTGCTGCAGGGCCAAAGTTAGTATGACAATCACGAATCAGATGTGCAAAAGAGAAACCCAGTCATTCCCCTTAGGCTGGTAACAGAGAGGGGATCAGCATAAAAGCTGCAGAGTCAGCTTTTTGGCTGCTCTTGAGAGATTCTCTCTTATTGTGCTGGCTTTAGGGTCCTTCTACCTCTGCACCATATAAAGCAGCCAGAACACACAACTTAGCCCTGGAAATATTAAACACAAAAATAATATTCCCCAGTACATACTGTTCTCTCTCTGTATAAATAAAGACTCTAGAACAAGAGATGTGTCCAACTTCAGCCATTTAACAAAAAAAAGTCCATGCATGAAGAAAAGGTCTTTCCCCCATATTTGTATAACTCCAAGATAAGTTAAGTGATTTCACCCCAAAGTTCAAAGGACATGTATGGATTGAATAAAGTTTGAGCCCAACAAGAATGTTTAGCAAGTGGGGCATTAGGACAAAAATGCCACAGTTAATACTAAATTATATATTTCAAAATATTTTTGTTGTACTATTAACTGGTAATGTCAAACAGATAGATGACAAACTGCATCACATGACTATGTAGAATGACAGTTCTAGAATAGACAGTGAACAGATTTTTCTAAAGGAACATTAATTGAGTTCATGGCTGTAAAAAAAAAAAAGCAGAAAGACTTATAACTGACTACATTTGGACACCAATGACAAAGCTTAGACAGTCACTGAAGAATCAACAGATTTTTCTAAATTTGTAGCCACAAGAACCTGTTGTTGATACTCCTGTTAATATTATGCTTAAAATAAATAGAATATGCTTTGTACCTCTGGCTTCAGGTATGTGGTGCCATGTTACTTAATATATCTTGCCTTGAGCTCTTAGGAAAATCTGACTAAAATGATATTTTTAGGAGTGGATTAGAATGTACCACTGGGATGGAACAGAAATAAAATCTTGAGCGTAGGCAGGCATACTATCATACTAAAAAGTGACTTATGACTTATACCAAGGTGGAAACACAGGCCTTAGTTCTTTATGGGTAGGATCAGATCAGGCATCAAGACTTTCAAAAAATTATGCTAGAACCAGTAGAAACCCTACTCAGACTTGTAGAATTCCTTCACTCCAAAGTGAAACATGAGAAAATGGAATATTCCTCATTTACAAAAGCTAGTTTCCCAGAGCATAATCAATGCAGAGTAAAAAATCCAGCTTTTATCCATAACCAATAAACTGTTTGATAAAAGGACAGATTTGGTAAGTTAGAATCATCTCAAGTAGCAATGTTCTCCAAAAAATGGAACTACTAAAGCCAGTGTGCCACTTGGAATGAGTACAAGTATTAGAAGCTAGCCCCAAATGAATGGTAATGGCCTCCTTGTGTCTGTAGAAGCACTTAGCTAGTTTGGAATTTCCAGCAGGATGGATAGAAATAAGGGACGCTAATGCTTCTCTCCATTGCTCAATCCTATAACTTCTGAGAAACCACTTCAGCTGGAAATAAAGAGCCTCGTAGTCAAATAACCATTTTAGGTTAAATGTGACATTTCTGGGGCCTCATTCTTTTGGCACATTATTACTGTTTACAATTAAGTTTAAAAAAATGTTCTGGTATTTCATGACATCAGTCAAATTCTTTCCTCTCCAGGCAAGAAGCCAAGGACAACTAAGCACTGGACATCTGGGTTCTTGCTAAGAGGGACTGGTCTTGTCCAAGCAGGCCACCCATTAGCAAAATCTTTAGAAATAAAACCCTTTGAATAATGTGTCTAAAGGCAATCTTAAAAATGCTGGAAAAGGAGGACTTCCAATCAGCTCTCTCTGGGTAACAGGAAACTTTGCAGTAAAACTAACAGTTCCCTATCAATGAGATGGTGAATTTTCTCTACCTTAAAGAAAATTGAACAGCCTAATATTAAACTCTTAGGATACATTACATACACAATTAATCTGTTAATGTAGCAGTTGCTAAATGTAGGATCATTGTCTCTAGATCAGAGATATACTGCCTAAACCAGAAAACGGTCATGCACTGAAAAGTTATATTCCCTAAAGTTGTCTTACTGTAGTCAAAATAACCAAATATCCACTTTAAAAGTGCAGAAGAGGCAGTGAAAAAAAAAAACCACTTACCTTCCTCCCCAAACTGATCATAGATGTCTCTTTTTTTGGGATCGCTCAGTACTTCATAAGCTTCTGCAACCTCTTTGAATTTTTCTTCTGCGTGGGGGGATTTGTTCTTATCTGGATGCCATTTAAGGGCTTGTTTTCTGTAAGCCTTTTTGATATCTTCTTCAGAAGCCCCTTTTTCAATTCCCAGAATTGAATAATAATCTTTCCCCATTCCGAGAGTAAGAGGAATTTAGGTTTTCCTTGATATAAAGAAACCAGTGTCCCGTGTCTTAGCAATGCAGATACTGGAAGGAAGAGGGGGGAAAAAAAGACCACGTCTGCTATTTAAACAAAGTTAGTACAAATCAGCCCTTGGCATACAGAGTAATGGTAGACTGCTGTTTCTATTTTATTCCCTCCCCTCCTGTTGCTCATTTATAGATAAATATACACACTGCTGGGGAGACAGCCCCTCTCCAGAGTCCTCCCATTTACACTACGTGTCTCGGCTCTTTCTAGAACAGCAAATGCTACAAGACGTCACTTCCCAGGCTGTCTACAGCCAGACACTCTGCACTGCTTCCACTCTCCCTTCCAATTAACTGTTCAATTTCCATTTTTCTCACTCAAGTGACTGGATAGTTTAGGTATCTGACAGCAAGGCAGAGAGTTCTTCATCTCCAGGTCTCTAAACAAGGTCATCAGGGACTGAAAACAAACACTATTTAACAGTAATTCAATGGCCTATACAAAACACACTGAAATCTCAATTTCCAATGTATATTTTAATCTATTTATAAATCCTTGTATCATATATGAAGGTACAGGTGCTCCTGGGATGAACCCCCACTGTAAAGTGCCACCTGTTGGATTTGCATTAGAGATATTTCATATTCAAATTAAATCAGGTCTCAAAAGTTTCAGACAGCTGATTTCATTTCATTAAAGCCCAAATTAATCCACCTCCCCCCCATAATTATCTTGCTTGGAGGCAAGTTAAGATTAACTAAACACTACTTCACTGCTAATTAAGTTGTAAGCAATCACAGCATGTTGTATAACCCAGTGCATTAAATCCACTCAGAAGTGTATTACAAAGAACAGTCATAGTCTTTCTATAATTTAGATAATACAGAACAGAAAGCAGAATTCCAGCTTTAACAAACAGGCAATTCAAGTACAAATAAATTAGCCGCTTGGCCTAATGACATCTGTGAGAGGTAAATAAAGCAAAGTTATCTATCCATAATGATGATCCATGTAAAGTTTTAGAGTTAAAACTGTTTCTCAAAGCCTGCAGAAAGAAGGCTATCAAATTATAGCTTGCAGTATATTGAGGCTCTGTTTTGGCTCAACTTCTGGACTGAGTTTTTTACTTTCTTAACTTGACTAAAAGGCTAGAACATTGATTAGTGCAGTGTAATTACGAGCCCTGTTTCACTGAAAACAATATTTTAAAACAATTTTGGTCACATCTATAGTAAATAGAAGTGGGGGAGCAGAGAACTCTACATAACTGTTCTCCTTATTTATTGTATTCAGATGCCCTGACTCTCAGCTGCAAATGTCAGTGCAGTATCTTGTTACAGGACCCTCAGCAAAGCTAATGGGGAACTTAAGTATGCTGCTGCCTATTAACTTCAGATGTCCAGATGGTATATATTTCAGAACTGGCTTTTTCATAGATCTCTTGGACATGACTTTTGATACGTGTTGACCAGAAAAGGATTTTCCCAAGAGGGTATCTTCCCCCATTCAAGATTTTTAACTTGGGAAACAAAAGTTCCTGTAGGATCACTAGTCATGGAAGAATACTTGTTCTCATTTTTTCCATCACTGGAAAATGGTAACAACATTCTCCCTTCACTCTACTTTTTCCATCTGAAAAATGATGGTAAGGCTAAGAGTCATAACTTTTACACAACTTCGACTTGGGGGGAGAGGAGGGAAGGGGATGTTAGTTTCTTCTCCACACTTAAAGTACTATGCAAGTAAAAGAGATAAGAAAAAAAGGTGACCATATTCTCAGAGTTTTAGAAAAGAAGTTTTCTTCCCTAATATTTTGTTTGGTTGGGGGCGGGTTTCTGGGCAGGGAGGAGAAGAGGCAGTCAGAAGACAAGCTAGGGTAGGGGGAATCATTTGATCAAATTTCACTTTTTGGCATTTTTTTTAATTAGAAAAAAAATTAAGTTTCAAGCACTTGTACTTAAAATCCCAGTTTGGAAAGGGGTATTTGGGTATCTGGAATCAGAATACTTGCATCAATTCCCCGCACCTTTCAGGCCCCCAGGCCTACTTCGCATCTTTTAAACCTGAATGAGCTAAATGGTTCAGATTAACCCATATAGTTACTGTCAGTATCAATTCCACATTAGAAGAGGGGAGGAGGAGCTACTTTTATTCCCCTCACTGGATAAAAAGATATCTGTGGTCAATAACTTGTTTCCCCTACATACAGTACTCTTCTTTTGGAGACTTGGCAAGTGCCATTAGTCTTAACAACAGCTCCTCTGTGTCTTGTCTATACAGATTGAGGGTCCTTGTGTGGGTGAGGAGATAGTTTCATTCCATTATATTTTATTTATAAAATACCTGATGCAAAGCACTGTCCTTTAAGTAATAGAAGATATACTTTCCTCCTTGCTTTTACACTCAAGTTACCTTTAAAGAGCACTCTAGGAAGTACCATGAAAAGTAAATGCAATAGCTTGTGTTAAAAGCAGGCTATAAGCTTGAAAACCTAAATTTTCTTCATTAGGTTAGCTCATAATACTGTCTTCCTGTACTATAAAGCAGAGTTGATGCTCCAGCATATGTTTCCATTTTAGGCAATACCTATTATAATCAAGAAAGTGTTAAGACAGTTTTGCTGGGTTAGTTTTTAACAATTCCAATTCCTTATCAGAAGAGCAACAAAGTTAGTCCAGAAAGCAGTAAATAAATTACTGTGGACATTACTACAGTTAGTCAGCCTACAATGGAGTCCTACTGGATTTTGGTTTTGTGTATATAGGGAACATACAGTCAGTGCCAAAACAATAACATAGATTACTTTAATCTGAGATCTGTATTCTAGTTAAAAAGAACCAGCCAAAACAAAATGGCTATGGTAGGCATGGTCTGCATAAGCAAATGTAAAACAAAGAAAAGAAAAAGTCTAATAACTCTTTTTCTAGCAATATTGTACCAAATATGTACTGTCTTCAAGGTTCCAAAAATCAAGAGCATGATGGGAATTAATGCTAGCAAATTTCAAACAACAGGACCCATTTAATGCCTGCCTTTTATTAAGGGCAAGAGAATCTGCCATATTTTTGTTTCTAAAAAAAATGGAATTTAGAGTTAAAATTAAATGACAATTAACGTTTGAGAACAGCACTTGCCAGACCAACTCAGGGACATACTGCTCTCTACCTTGCACAGCATGTACAGAGTGACAGAGGGCTAGATCTACGAAGGGACTTAGATCTGTGGGCACTACAATGCCTAACTTCTAAGCACCTGGTTTCTCGAGTGGAAGCCAGAGCCCTCAGTGAGATGCCCGTCTGAATCTTTTAGCTGTGCTGTGAACATGTTGCCCAGACAGGCCTCTCAGGGGAGATATGCAAAGGACTACCCAGCTGAGGGTCCTGATCTGACTTAAGTGTGACATACATGCCTAGCTGCTCAGCCATGCCAAGACAACTAATTGTTTAGGAAACTTTACTGACAAAAAAAACCTCAGGCATGGATAGAATTCAGATCCATAACTGAATTAGTTGTATTCAGTGCCTAATTCTACTTGAGTTTTCTGTGGGTCTGAGTTGTTTGGTGGGTCTGAGGTGTAACTCCTTTGCAAGAATAACCACACAAAGTAAACACATACATGTCACTTCCTTCTCCACTATACAGCAGAGGCTGGCCTCAACATGGCCCACAGTAGCTGGGATGCTGTATTCAATCAGTACGATCACTAGGCTACTTATTAAAGTTCCTTGGAAGCAGACAATGCAAATGATATCCCTACAGAACATTACCACCCACAGCCTGGAAATGCACTTCAAAGCGATGCCCACGGATGCCAGCTCCTAGGAACAGGTAGAAACAAGGAAAACTGACAGTGACACCTCGTGGCTTTCACAACCAACAGGCCAAGCAGTCAGGATCTAACAATGGCATCAGTGCTAATACAATGATTATAGTTCCAACACCAGTTATCATTCTGACCAGTTTCTCTCACATGGGCACAGTATTGGTCTATAGTGCTTGTATTTCGATGTCATACTGTGTCAGACAATTCCATCCATTTAAACCTTATGGTTGCATTTCTCTCTCTCTGCATACTTAACTGCAAACATGGGTACAGACACTTCATCTCATACAGAGTTGTTGCATTTTTATACAGGTATGTTTCCTGCTAACGTTAAATGTGGCCAAGACTCATGACTGACTAATGGAAATATATTTACCAAGTGTCAAGGACTTGTATTTAGACATGTAGACTGTTGGTAAATCTCAATGCTCCCTTCTGCATCACAGCTTTATTTTCCTTTCCCCCAAAACGTCTAGCTTCAGCAGGCAACAGGGAACAATTGTGTGCGATGCCCAAGCAACTAATATGCATGTCTATACCTTTCATGGTGCAAGAATCACAGTTATTTGGAGAGAGTTTCTCGGCTTAGTCAGCTGCACATCTCCCCCATATTCCCTAGAAGGTTTATCAAGGCCTTAGCAACAATGAAAACAAGACACTGCACTACATAGCAACACATACCTATAAATCACAGAGTCACAGGCGCACATATACTAAAAATAACCCAAAATCTGTTTTTCACAGTGGGCAATGAAGGTTTTTAATGGCATGTACAAGCATCTGAATCCTTCAGCCATCTTCTGAAGCACTATCATGCAAAAAGCTACCAGTCAGTCTGGGGCAACTTTTGAAATTGCATATGTAATGCCAGACTCCCACTCTACTGTAAACCCTCAGGAGCAGAGACCATGCCTGCTTTTGTGCCTGGAACCACAGAAGCATGATCAAGATCAGGGCCTCTGGCCAGTACCTTAGTAAATACCTGCTTAGGACTGATGTTAATCAAGGTGATTGCCAGGGATCCGGGTTTTCTGTTTCCCCGCAGAAAAATGAAGGGGTGGAGGGGGAAGGAATGTGGATTTGCCCTTTTAACTGAGAAAAATGTGGATCTTTCATTTTAACAGAGCAACACGCAGATTTTCCACTTCTGCAAGGAGCTCTCTGCGAACTGGCAGAGTTCCAGCCCGCAAGGGGCTGGTGGGAACAGGAGGAGGGCGGTCAGGCAGGGGGTGC